ATTTTTGCGTATCAATACCACGAGTTTTCGTTTTTATTTGGCGTACTATTTATACGCATTTTCATGAGATCGGGCTGGGAGAAACAGATGCGCTGATTGAACATGCAAGAAAATAAATGTTATTACACAAGTTCTCCGTTTTCTGTGTGTTTTTCCCTGGTTTAATTTAGCTTTCTCAGTGTTATTTATTAATTAAAATCATTAGGCCAGTAAAACGAAGCGTACTTGGATGCTTTTGAATGTTGTAGGCCTACATTTACATTTATTCATGTAAAATTATGTGTTTGTTGCTATATTTTTTGTATGTTTCCATGTGTGTAGGCTATATTCACACCGATGATGTGTGATCTCCCCTGTTTTGCAACTTTCATTTTGGTCAGATGTGAACAGCAACAGACATACATCATGGCCCCCAAATTCAATTAAGCTTTTTTTTTAACATACTGTAGTCATTATTAGTAAAAAGACCCGTTTTTAGTGTGATGATTCATTGCAATGACTTTAACATTAACGTGGCTCAAAAGCAAACTAACATTTTTTTTTCAAAGAAAAAAAAAAAAGGACATCAAGTTGAGATGACACTGTGTAAGGTGTTTTAAAGCTTTTGTGAACTTCATTCAGAAAGATAAAAACTGCACATTTAGTATATGTACACAGAAATATTTATTATCAAATTTGAACAAATAAATTTTATATTAAATTAGGACAAGGTAATTTTAAATTGTTGAAATAATTCTAGTAATAGAAGTAAAAATAAAGCCTATACCATAATGGTGTGTGAAGGACATTGCACAGTCCCCACCCCCCAAAAAATGTTGATTACACTTTACATTTGTGTGTACTAGTAAATTTAAAAACATGCTGCACAGAGAAAATTACTGTCAGTCCCAACACAATCTTGGTGTAACCATCTGTTACAGTCTCCACACTGGATCTGTGAAAGAAAAAAAAAATCGAATTCAAATTTCAGTGTACTCAAAAAAATTTGAGAGTGATTAAAAAAAACCGATTTAACCATAAATGTGTTTTGTTTGTGTGTGAGTCTGTTGACTCACTACTAAAGATGCTCTTACCCAGTTGATGGTCAGGCGCGGGATCTTATTTGCCTTCTTCTGAGGCTTGTCATCTTCCATGCCACAGTAGTGGCACAGTTCAGACAGATCATCTGGAAGAAATACAAACATGGATTTAGCATTTGAGTACTTGCATCTAACAATTATAAATAACAATTTGAGTAGTTACAATTAGTTACATATGACAGTTGATGTTAAAGGCGTGGTTCACTGGGTTTTTTCTAGGCTTGACTGTGTTTATGGGGTGCAGTCTAACATGTGTTAATGCTTCGTTTTAAACAAAACGCATTATTTTTCACATAATTTACCTTTATTCCACACAGCTCTGTCCCTTCTCTGAGAAACGGACTGATCTTTTCCTGTTTTTATGAAGCCCCGCCCTCAGAAATAGGCGATGGGCTCTGATTGGTTAGCTAGCCCAGAGTGTTGTGATTGGCTAAACCGCCTCTAGCGCGAGTCTAAATGTCCCGCCCCTCACCTCAGCGGCATGTGCTCCGGTTGTATTGTAAACAAGGAGTTGTTAATATCTCGTACCAGTTTGAGCTTGATTGAGAAGCAGAGGGGAAACAGGAGAGAAGAGACTATTATTACCAGATTAAGAATAGGGCATAATAAATTAAATAGCACTCTTCATATTATGGGAAAACATCCAACTGGGTTTTGTGACCAGTGCCAATTACCTGAGACTGTAGAACATGTGCTTATTAATTGTTCAAAATATGAATTACAGAGGATGGATATGATAAATGACATGGAAAAAATAGGACTAACAGGACGTGGAGTAAAGAATATAATGGACTGCAGTAGGAGTGAACAAGGAATGAAATATTTGATTTGCTTTCTGACTAAAACGGGACTCATGACAAGAATATGATGACTAAAGTATATGGGAAATAACTAGAAACCGAAGATGGCAGTAATGCAACGTTAAGGATGCAAGCTGCCGTTAAAACCTGAAGAAGAAGTAGCAGAGGATATTATTGAAGAGGATCGTGCAGAACCTGTGCAAGTACAGCAACCGCATGCACGTCCATGTTTAACGCTTCTCATAGCTATGTGAAAATAAGTGTATAATTGGAACAGTTCATTGTCGGAGCTGAGCTGAATGAGAGAGAGAGAGAGAGAGAAAGATACAGAGCGTGTGCAGAGCAGGGGGACGTGAGAGAACCGCTGCTTTTAAACATTGATTTTGAAACCTGTGAATCCTTAGAATCGTTAGAAGACAGAATCGCGATTCATATATGAATAGATTTTTACATGCACCTCTAGTTTTCTCTTCCTCTTCTCTAAAGCAGCGCAGCGCAGCTTGCCTTTGCTGCCTTTTCCCGAGGGCGGGGTTTATCTGGGTTTGTTACATCACGAATCCGGGAAGTAACTTGTTGTAGTCCCTACCGGCCATTTTTGTAGGCATTAAACTGCCAGAAAAAAAAACAAAAAAAAAACGATATCTCCGTTTGCATTGAGCTTCGTAACTTTGCAGATATTGTTTGTTCAAACAGCAACATTACACACTCACTAACGTTAAAAAAGTGAAATCGCAATGAACCACCCCTTTAATATAATGAATGTAAGGTACTTGTTAGTCATAGAATCTAAATAGTAAAAGTTGTAATCAACTTAAAAAAGAGAAAAATCAATAAATTAAGAATAAGACCTGTCTCTTCAAAGAGAGTGAGTGCAATGTCCTTTCTATAATTATACAGGTCATAGTGGATGGGAACTTAATACTCTTAGCTGCCTTGTCATTAAGGATATTAAGCAAACTAATTTAAAAGACAAAATCACTATGTCAAAAAGTTAACTATATTACAGTCCATAAAACACATAAATAACTTAAATGGGCAGAGCCGCCCTGATGTCTCAGTGTCATCAAATGTTCACTTCAGGGTGTCAGTTGACATACAGTAGAATTATTATTATTATACAGTGCACCTAATCCTCATGGACTGCAGCAAATTTGCCAGTTTTTACTGTAAGATGTCACCCTACTCTTCCTCCAAAGCATGTGAAAGT